TTGGGAGACACAAAGAGAATGCCATGACCAAACATGTAACTACCAGATTGTGAGCCCTGGGTGGCAGCAGCACCAGCAGAAGGGGTTACAGTGGCTCCAGCAGCTCAGAACAATGGTGGTGGCCACTGTTTTTGTGCTCCCGCTATGCGAGTGCCCGAAGATGGTGCCCCGGTAGACTGAATCATAAAACACAAGACTGTTTTTCCAAAATGAAGAGAAGTGTTGCCCAGCAGGATAGTTACTCATGGTGTAAAGTGCTTGGAAAACGACTAATACTCTACATAAATGCCAAAACTTACTACATAAAGCTATTTGCCCTTTTACAGTATTTGCTGAACTCTAACTTAGAAGTTGGTTTAATAATTAAAAAAAAACAGAAAGAAAGAAAGTAGTAGCGGCCATATTGTAACATGCAATTCATGCAAGTGCTCTATTTCTTGCACTTTATCTGCATCAAAGTTTCTGCCTGTATTTATGCAGGCACATGCAGACTTAAGCAAATTTAACTACAGATTGTGGGGTTTCAGCAGGTCCTACAGAGTTGCTTGCTTTTTCTGTCCTTGGTATAAAACCATACTTTTTGTTGAAGGTAAAAAGTTTGAAAGTATCCAGAATGCATGTTTCCTGTGCCCCTCCTTGGAAAAAAAAAGGCAGCTTGCAGATGTAAAAAAAAATAAAATATTAAAAAAAAAAAAAAACCAAACCAACAGGGCTTTACTTTCAACTCGGGCATTCCCGTGTCGACCCCGGAACATGCCCAGAAGAGGCAGTGACTTAGTTGGACCTGGCTCACCTGATGTTTGTATAGATCGGGCACTTTAGTGGGGCTTTTCTGGGGCTTTTATCTGATAGATGATTAAATCAGCTTCAGATAAAAGTGTCAAAAAGCCCCGCTGAAGCACCCAATCTATTCAGAAGCTGTAGAGCCAGGTTGAAGTAATGTACTGCTCCTTCCAGTAAAGCGCATTTTGTTTTGTTTTTTAATGTCTGCAAGGAGCCAAAGGCATTATCTCCTTGATCCTCTCTGCACAATTATTATTTTTTTATTTCTAGGTAATTCCCACAGTTTTTGTATAGAAACGCAAGATAAACATACCCATCAAGTCTTCCGGCTACATAATTTACAATTTCTTTTATGAAAAGCAAAGCTGTCTTCACTGCCTATATCTGATTCAGCTTTTAAAACTTCCTCAAGAGGCTACGTGTCTGTTCTCTAATAACAAAGTATGAGCAACCTGTCACTGATGAAAATGACTGGTCACAACAGAGTTTCCGAATATGAACATCTCAGATTCTTGGGCTCATGTCATACTCTGCTGAAAAAAATACTCTTTAAATTTTTACTTTTCTTATTTAACATTATCTGAGCACTAGCTGGCCTGCTTCCTTCCATGATTAACTACAGGAGTTTTATTTTCAGGAACATATATTAGGTGTTCATCAATATTGTAATATATATTATTAGTCCTATTTTAAACAAACATTTTGAACAGAAGATGCATCTTGAAAGACAAAGAAAAGTGAATGCTCAGTTAAAATGCACCTGCTTCATCAAAAATACACTGTAACAAAATATTTATGAAATGTTATTTGATCTCTATCTAAAGAGATCTAAAGTAAAGTAATTCCTAATCCTGGGGTAAGTCCCAAGCAACATGCACAAATATGATGTTTACCACAACCTCTCCAGAAATAAGAAATGTAAAGATGTAGCTCTAAATGCATATTTCTTGAAGATATACTGTGAGAATTCAGTCTTAACAAGTTGCCACAACATGGGAAGCAAATCTGAAATGGTTGTTTACATAGTAAGCAGCAAACTAGAAGTAAAAGATCAATGCTAATTTTAATCTGTGTTGTTGCCCAGTAGGAAAAAGTAGAGCCAACCTCATTAGATTGGCACTACTAATACATTTACACTTTCATTTAATGTAACAATACCTGAAACATTCAATTGAAAAGTAAACATAATAATACATTCAAGTAAAGCAGAAAGTCACTCTAATCAGGTTTCTTTCCACCAGTCGCATCAGTATGTGTCCCTAACCATTTTATCTTACATAAAAGGATACAATATATACCCTTTTTAACACTGTATCTTTGTGAACTTTGACTCTTTGATTCTGTATGATCAAACACAAACAGCAACAGCAGAGAAAATGCTTTCCCTTCTTCAAAATGCTCTATTGGTTAGTTCAAATTTATTTGTTGTCAGTAAAGGTTATATTTGCACATAAGCCTATGACAGATTGCAAGTTTGTTAACTTTGAGCGAGTTTTCAAGCTGCTGGTATTTTTTCTTAAGACGTAGGTTACTTGACAAATTGGAGTTAAGTTATCTTGGGTCAATGTAACTGTAAGTTAAACTAATGAGGTGTATGTCTGTGAGTGATGTCTGATTAGTTTAATACAGTTAGTGCTGGACAGCTTGGGCTGCTGACCTTGAAGGAACATAGATAACATTGTGATGCGTTGGAGGACGCAGTTGTGATGCAGGAGAAATTTACATAACAGTTTGTCATATATACTCCTCCAAAATAAAATTGTTGCAAAGGGAAAATAATGCATAACCCACACTCAAATGCCTCAGGCTAGAGAGAAGAAAAAAATTAGTTACAGGAATTTGGTTTAGGATAGCAACTTATTTGAAATGAAAAGCAACAGCAGACAGGGAAAAGGTATTTTTTTTATACATTAATGTTTTTCATATTCAAATCGTTGCTGAACTGTTGTGTTAGGTTACATATTATGTCACAACAAATCTGAATGCATTGCAAATCATGCCACATGACCTTCTGAAGCACAAGTTCCATGCTTGAAAAATCATTTTCATCTCCATCTGCGCGTACTACCTTTATTTGCTATAATTTGAAGTAGCAAATATTACACCTAATTATCAATTGAGATCTGCTACCATATTCCCCTCTGTTTCCACAGGGTCCCTGCTGAAATTAATGTTATTTGATATAGGCAAGAGGGTCCCTGATAGCACATTCCAAGGTGGCATCAGGACTTTTCCCTATACTGTATTTTCTCACATACTGCACACACCCAAATAAGACCTGCACTTTATTTGGGGAAAGCAGAATGAAGGGAAAAAAGATTTTTTTCTAGTCACAGCTGAATGCTGACTGAAGGGAACCTAACTGTAGCCAATGTGGCTGTGAGAGAGTTGACACTAGCTCTCACCCTGAAGAGTGAACTCTGTCCCTTTCCTCTCTAAGGCTGGCAGAAGGACAAGTATGGCAGCCATCTTGCAGTAGTATCTCCCTACTCTATAGAGAGAATACCTCCCTGTTCTTCCATTTTTCTGTCCTAGAATAGAAAAATCAGTTTTCCCATTTAAGACACACCCTCCAATTCTGGGGGGCTGATTTTTTGGGGAAAGTTGTGTGTTGTATAAAAGTAAATATGTTAAGTATATTAAGTAATGGTAGTGAAATACCCATTCCACTGCTGACTCAATGATGTTCTCTAGCTTGGATAGACTGAAATGTAAACTGCAGCATTCCGTATATTACTGTTTATAGATTCATCCTACAATACTTTAACTCATCTGGGATGTTGGATGATGGGCTGGTTTTAAGATAGTGGTTGAAAGCATTCATTATCTATTGACTGCTTGGATGAGGGCTCAGTCTAGGCCCTAACTTATAGACATTGCCAACATCCACATACACAATTGGCCTCTAAGTTTGTAGTCACATTACAGAGTTCAAAAACTAAATAATCACCAAGACTGAACTACCCTCACATCTGTTTAGGTCAACTTGTTCAGGGCATTCAGATTATTCAAGTTATACCACAGTACACAGTACCCTCTGGAATATGGAGGGTGTTTTAGCTATGTTCTACCTTGGTGTTTCTCAGCCAGTCCTAGGGATAAGCCACCAGGGTGGATAAAGGTGGAATGATCAGCTGACAACCACATATTTCTGTGATTCCAGGCAGTGTCACATTGAGATGACAGGCTGTTTTTCATTTACCTAACTGGAAGCATCTTAGGTAGACAGATGGACAGGTCAACAAAATCTTGGCTGAAGCAGAGCTAAGTAGCCCAAGTACAGTGATGTGTCAATGTTACTTCCATTTTGGAGCTAGTTCTGTAAGAAGACTGCAAGGGAAGGTAGGCTGTTGGGTTGTTCATGCATTGGAGAGAGGTTAGCTGTGGTGCAGCAGGTGGAATTGAGGAGTAGGGGGGCTGTATGGAGGCCAGAGGTTAGCTGGTTCCCATTGTCTGTGGAACGAGCTTAGGACAAGGTGGTGGCCTCTGGGCTATGAGGTAAGGACAGACAGGTTGCTGGGCTATGTACAAATGCTGAGGATGGTCCCTAGGATCAAAGAACAGAAAACCGCTGCTGTAAGTGATCTATGGAACAAAAGAACTTCAGTCTCAATTCGTCTATATCCTTTTCTCAGCTCTGAATTCACTTGATAAGTTTATAGGTAACACACACACATACACATGCGTGTGTGCACACATACACTCACACTTAGCAATACATTAGAACAGGTCTGTCCAACTCCAGAGTGGCTGGGTACCACGTGCCATGCAGGCCTCCCACTGCACTGATAGCACTCCCTCCCTAACATGCTGCACACGCATCCCCTACTGCATCACCCCTGACTGTGCAAGCCTTCCCAAGCAATGATCTTCTTAAACCTCACTGGACACGCTGCACCATTCCCTGCTTATCCTAATGACTCCCAGCTTTCTCGACAAGACTGGCTGTTCTGTCTTAAAGGGACAGGCCATCCTGTTACACCTTTATTAGCCCATATTAGATGGAGACTTCATAGTACTAGAAATACAGGACTTGTATTTTTTTTTAATTATGCTGGAAGTTTTTCATACAAACTCAAGTATGAAAAGCTAGTAGATCAATATTTAATTTCAGTGTTTATTTCCATATATGCATATTTTAGAAAATTTAGTTTTACAAATGTGGTTGAAGACCCTTTTCTATTTTGACCTCTAAGGTTAGTCAAAACTCACTTTACCTGTAATTAGCATTAGCTGGCACAGTTTGCATGAAATAGAGGGCAGCAGTCCGTGCTCTCCAGTGCCATTTCTTTGCTGGCAATGTGTAGAGGACACATTCTTCTACTTCCTCCTGCAGAAGATCCACTAGCTGCTTGTGGGAACCACCATAAAAGGCTTCAATTAGAAGAATGCTCATTTATTTTAAGTTTTTCAAATGTATTTGGATTCTGAAAATGACAAAAAGAAAAATCAAAGTCCCTTTGTTAGTGAACATTATATATATTTTAATCATGTTAGACCTGTATAACTTAATCATTGTGTTTTATATTCAATACATACTTTAAACTAATACTAATACATTTATTTTTTAAGGCCAGCAATTAGAATGATGGTGAATTATTGCATCTATTAATAACATTCATAATTCACTAAAATTAGTCATCTTTACTGAAAAGTCACAATGAGCATAATTTATAAAATATACAGGTCTATACAAGAGCAATTCAAATACATTTTAGCTGAAAAGATTTCATACTAAAGGCAATCTGGAAGACGACTTAAAAGAAATGACTAGAGGCAGCCTGCAGATATCCAGTTTGAATCTTCCTCCAAGACTCTATACCTTAGGCTATTGGAGGTTGGGAGCATCACTAAAGTGACACACACAGACCCTAAAGGAGATATAAACCATATTACCCTTGAGTACTCCAAAATGGCTGGAGCAAAACAATATTGTAGACTTGAAGCTATCACATTGCCACAGGGGCACTGACAAACAGGAAGTAAAACATGTCCAAAATGAAGGGAAAGATGAACGCCTTGTGACTGCTTCATGAGTCACAGTTTTGAGGTGGTAAAAAGCTGCTTTACAGATGCTTTGGACAAAACCATTGAACAAGAATGTTAAAAACAAAACCACAATTAGTTATTTACCATAAGTGGCTGCCACTGAAATTTTCGCATCAAACTCTACTAACAGGGCACACCAGGTCTTATTATCTTACTTGTATCTTGTTCAGTTTGACGCAAACCAGTGTAAGATTGTACAAATGAGCATGCATCCCCTGCCCGACATTTTCCAGCAGCACCTGATTATGACCCTAATATTTTCCAGCAACTTTGATGAGAAGCGATGAAGGGATTCATACACTAACGTAAATTCTCACCAAAATCTAATGATAATCCCAGTTATGAAACTCAGTTAAACTGGAGTTACTTATGAGGATACATGAGTAATCAACAGTTAAAAAAAAAAAAAAAACTTACAAGAGTTCTGCAGCTATTAAGAAAAGCAACCAACAAAAAACCCCCAAATGTTCCGGAAATTCAGAAGTAAAAAAATAAGCCCTTTGGTCAGTACTGAATCAATGGTCTACCATAGTGTTAAAGGCTTACTGTTTTGCTGGAGGTGCCACCTTCCAGATGAGATACAAAACTACGTTTCTGACTACTTCTCAGCCATAAAGATTTTTTGTAATGGGTACAGATTTCTTTCATCTGGTTTGGTAAACACATACTAGCCTGACTTCCAGCTATGTTCTTACTCTACTATATGCTCCTTCTGTTTCAACTAGACTAGTTATTCTGCACTTCACCTTCCAAAAGCTGCATACGGAATGGGAATCACACTTCACCTCACAGATTGAGAATCATAGAGCTGATTCTGATCTCTTTTTATGCCAGTGTAAAGCTAGAATCATCCACCTGAAGTCACTGAAGTTTTTCTGCACTTATGCTGAAGTAAGTAAAATAAGAATTTAGATTCTAAAGTACTTTGGGAGCCTGCAGAGTAATCACTATTACATAAATGTAAACGTCATTTGGAACATATATCATTTACCACACTAAAGAAGACACAGTTATTAAATAAAGGTGTGGCTGCTGATAAATATTTTCACATTGCAGGAAAATTAAGAAATAAAATTTAAAAAATAAGGAATGGAGGGAAGCCTTTTGCAAATTTAGCATGGGAGAAATGGGGGTACATGAAATGTTAATAAATGCCACAGAGTCAGTCACTCCCTAGAAAGAGATGAGGTTAATTTACAAGGTGTTGGAAGTATTCGTAAGAAAATAGCTTATTCATAAAACAGCTGATTGAATTTCACCTCACCAGTCTAGTTAATTAAACCATTTTATCGCCTAGTTTAGCTGAAACAACAATTTGGTTCCGTTTCACATCCTTTGCAACAGTTCCCATTTTTACATTCTGTATTGTGATAAATAAAGAATGTATATGCTAAGGCTAAACTCTGTTTCAGTCTCAAGTTTCCTTATGGGCTATGGTTATTAATGCTTAGGTTATTCTATATTTCTCTTACTACCTTTAGGCTTGCTAACAGAACAACATATTAGGCAAATATTAAAATACAATAAACTCTTAGGATGATTCTGATTGAGAAACTTGGTTTAGAACTTCATTTTGCCTTGGCTGACTGCTGGATAGCTGAGGCAATCTAATTCTTTATACCACATACAGCCTGTATACATAAATCCCACTTAATAAGTAACAAAAAGCAAGGATGAGAAATCACCATGATTTTTTGAAAGATGACACGATAGTCACGGAGATTCTCCACAATCCTCCTTCCTAGAGTAGAACAATTCTAAGAAAATTTTAAAACTGCCAAGGAACCAAGAATTTTACTGTCATGTGATCTACATAAATTACTACTCCTATATACTGAACATAGCTTAATAAAAAGGTGCAGTCTGGAAACCAATTCCTAGTATTTTAAACAGTGCTACTAAAAGACAAAATATTAAACAATAAGGGTCAGACAAGGCAATCGGTCCCCAAAGTGAAAAATAATATCATTTAGGAATAATGGAAAATCCATTTACATATTTTTATGTTTTAAATATATATGTGGATAACGTACTGGAAATCACATTATTTTAACAATAACTAGTAATTTTTCAAAGTTTAAAAAGCCACAAAGGAGGTGGGATGAACACACATACCTCATATTTCGCCTACATGGTTTCCAGTTTGTTCACATATCACAGTAACATCTATTATTCTTGCTTTATTTCCCCTGACCTAGCCAAGTTAAGGTAAATATGTACTATGTACTCCTAAGAGGTCTTGAAAAGCCACCAATGATAAATGGCCATCTGATGGAATGCAATCTTCAATTAAATATAAATCACTCCAGGTATTCTTTACCCATTTCAAAGAAAAACAACAAATATTAGAAAAACATATCTGCTTTTCTTTTCTCATTATAGTGTTTCCCCTCTCTAGGGTGGTTATTTGGAGCCAATAATTCTGCATGTTCCACTAATGGCTTGACTCTATTCTCAGGAGTGCCTTGCTGTGTATTTGAAAAATTTGCTATTCTTTATGTACCATATGCAGATGTAGTAGCAGATTCTTCAAGATACAAATTAATAAAAGCCCTTATATCTGCAATAAAGAATGAATTCCTATACGAAAATTACATTAAAAAAACCCAACTAATTTATACTGACCAACAAAACTTTGTAGCGCTGAGAGACATTTCTTCCATTATTTCAGCCCTGAGATATCATGCAGACACTGTCAAGTCACTATTTAGAGGTCAGCCACAAGGTGAATGATTTCCCAATGACTAAGGGGCCATACACTGGCCAGGTTAAGTCCCTAAATGGAGAACTGAAGATGAACTCTACAATTTCCATTTAAACAACAAGTAATGTGTAAAATTTTGTTTTGAAAATAAATAAATAAATAAACAGAAGAATAGCTGACCAAGAAAATTTAAAACATTCAACCAGGCATGGAGCAGTTATTTTGTAGACTCCTGGAACACTAAACAGTAACAAAAGTATTTTTTCTTTAAATCTAGGTAAAGAAAACTTGCAATTTACCAGGATTTATTAAGGAAGATACATTAATTCTGTTATATACACATAAATGTGGTTTCACAAAATATTGGCACAACTCAGGAGAAAGCTATAATTAGCCTTCTTCCCTGACGCATTAAGGCAACATAAATTACAGGTCACGTTTAAATATCTGCCCAACCAAATATTTCAGCAAAAATCCCAAACCAAGGGAATAACTGTTAATATATTCCATAGGTACACAGTTGTTATTAGTTATAGGAAATAAGGTATACGGTTTCAGTAATGATTGTTTCAACGGTTACAATCCCACACGTATGAGAAATTTATTCCATCACTGTATCCAGAGCATACACAGTTCAACATCTTAAGTCATCTAACTACATAAGTTAAGTCTGTAGTATGTACTTATGTTTATCTGAAATAATCAAAATTGTAAATATATAATGTATCACTTAATACAGGCAAAGAAATAAATGTTTCACATTTTAGTAGTATGGATTTCTCCTGGTTATAACTTATTAGACATTTTACCTTGAATCTTGTCTCCCTCTACCCCTTTCCTCCAACCCCACAACACACATACTTTACAAGTGTTAATGCAGCATACTGAAAAAGGCAATACTGAGACAGTTTGCTTTACCCACCCACTCACATTAATGACTCATCAGAGAAACTTTGGCAGAGATGCACCTTAAACACTACAATCACATTTTAATATCTGAACTCAAATCATAACTTTTGTTTAAATCAGTCAAAAGTAGAGAGTGAAGAGTTTCCTTCTGATGAAGTTTACCTACATAAAAAAGTGAACACACAACATGTTTTGCATAAACTGATTATGTAGCAAGTACATGATTTTAAGAAACTGGTAGTTCAACTTTGTCTGAGTAATGCTGATTTACTGATCAAGTTTGTCTCAACTTTAATACCTACAAGACAGCCATCTGTATGCTGGAAGCTTCTAACTCTACTAAAACAGTGTATATGCAGCCCCGTACCTTTATTTCATCATTGTCTTGAAAACATTCTCTACTTGGGACCCTGATGAATGTGAATCGACTCTAATTTTTTCCTTACATTGATGACTATTTCCCAGTCAAGTAAAACAGATAGTAATGTGCAATCTTGCCTCTGTTGAAGTCAGTGAAATCCCAGTGACATCAATGAGATCAAGATTTATACTTGTGGTCTCGACATTGCATCTTGTTTATTACAAGATTCACTCATTTGCTACAGTTAGTTTGGACTACTAAGTTTTTTCTTTAATAGCATATTTTATAATACACCTTGTAAAATTATTTACTTTCTTTAAAAAAAAGTCTTGTAAAAATATCCGCTTCTTACAAACTTCAAAATCAGTAGTTAATCTGTAGTCATTTAATTTGCCTTCTATAAA